GTTCGTCAAGGTGCCTGCTCATCCGCTGAGTAAGCGAGCGGTCACGATGAGGTGACTCAGCGCCTTCTCAGTGAGCTTGGTGAGATAGCCGGGCTCCAGTCCCCACGAAGCCGCCATCGCCCCGAGAGTGGGTGCGTCGCCTTTTGGCATGCGTTGACGCGCCTGAAGGAGTTGCGTCGCCATGGAATCCAATGACTTGTTGCCGTTGAGCCGGGACGGGTGATTGGCCCACTTGACCAGTGACGTCAAAGTTGTGGTTGTGGGCGATTGCTTGAGATACAAGCGTGGCTGGTCACTGGTCCATGTGTAGTACTTGACAACTTCTTCCGGCGTGCTGTGCATGGTGAGCAATTGTGAGGCCGCCGGCTTGGACGGTGGTGAAGAAACTCCGTGAAGAGACTGAATGATCCGGGGCTGCACCGCGCTATCAAACGACTTGCCATCAAGGGCCGCTGCGCTGGCCGTAGGGAGGGAGCTGGCAGGCGACGAGGATTGTGTGTGGTTGACCGGTGGTGGTGTAACCAACTCTGCATCATCTTTCTGGCTTGCCACCGTGGGGGAAGTCGAAGCGCGCAGCGATGCTGAATGGAGCAGTTCATGAGCACGACTTAGATCATTGTACTTCTTGACCATGTCATCTGTCTGGGTGGGAGGCGTGAGAGATGCGTGGTGTTGTTGAAGAAACTGAAGTACCAAGTTGGCCAAATGGTCATGAACCTTGATCCGCTGATTGAAGTCATCGAGGTTGAGTCCCAGCGAATTGGCAAGGTCCTTTTCCAGGGTGAGCAGGTTGATCGACTGTGATCGTCGTAGTAGTTTGGAACAGGTACTCCAAAGCAAGGCCTCAGTGCGAGTGCGAAAGCCTTCCCACGTCACGAATCTGCCGTGAGCGAACGGTCGGAGCAGCCAGTTGGTGAGGCCCCCATGAATATCCTGAACCAGGCGAACGTCACGAATGTCCATGCCTGACATGTCGCGTTGGTTGCTATGCGGAGTGTTGGCAACCGTCATGGGCAGGCTGAAGTTGTAGAGCTGATTGACATCTAACATGCCATCTCCAGGTGTCCATTCAGGTGATGGTGTAAGCCAGGCTTTCTGAGGACGAACCGGTACAGCAGCAGGAGGTCCAGGTGGCGGTATAGGTTGCGAGGTAGTGACCGGTGGTGACATCACGGACGGCATGAACTTCGTTGGCGTGGGCTCTGGAGGAATCGGCGTCATGTAGTTGATCGATGGATGTTGGAACTGCTGCGCGGGACTAGGGATCGATTGAAAATTGGTGGGCATCATCGGGAAATTGTTGGCGGAGTTGTAGCCAGAATTGTGTTGCCAAGATACCAGGTTGTTCCAATCCATGCCCTCCGAGACGTGGTGGTCATTGTGTTCACGTCGGTGTGCTTCACGAGCTTGAGGAGAAGTACTCCGGTCGCGTCTGCGCCGAGTCCTGGATCTATCACGATCATCACGTCGAGACATGGTGACGCAACCGACTCTCAATCTTCACACTTCCACCTTGAGAGAAACGAATCCAACAACATGCAAATCAATGCAAATGCAAGTCATCGGCCCCCAGCTGCGATGGTTGAAGAAATGGATCCGACAAAAGGTAAGTCGATGCAAGTTGATGTCAGCGTCCATCATCAGCATTGGTGCAAGAAATGAATCTGACAAATGAAAGGCA